GCAAAGAAATAAAGACACCAATTTTAGACTCCGTTTGGTACACATCAATGTAAAAATAAGAATGAAAAAATATAACCGTTACGGACCCCACACAAAAGATAAAAAGTCAAATATGGTGGTTTGATGTGATGGATAATGACCATATTTTTTATTTTAATGAGTAAATAATGAGAAACAAACAGGCTCGATAAGCTATAAATATTGGTAGATTGTACAATCGAGTGTAATTAATACGAAACAGTACTATCGAGTCATTGCGGTGGTAAAAATGATTAACAAGTTCAAGAGGTCCAAAATATAGGTTCATTAATTGGCTAGTCAACACGATGTTACTTTTGCTCCAACTTGTAAAACACCAATGGCATTACATTCGGCTTGTAGGCTATTGGTAAACTTCAAATCCCCATGACTTGCGACATTCAATCTGTTTAGCCCCCGTTTGGCCTCCATTTTTCGAAGTAGAAATGGGTGGAATAGTATTTTTTTGAAAAATGAGTGGTTGAAAAAGAAGTAAAAATTTTCGATTTACGTGTAATATTATTTTATGGAAGATTATATGGTTGACTATAAGAGAGAGAGAAACGAAATGTAATGAAATTTAATGTAATGGGGGCTAAATATATAACTAGGATATGCCGTCATCTCCAAATTGTTTTCTTGTGCTATTCGATACCACAAATCTTAGAGGATCATTACTACATTATCTAGATGATTTCCTATAAAATGCCAAACACCAATCAGAGTTCATGAACACTCAATCACATTCTCTAAGTCACTTTTCATCTAGCATATCATTCATTTAAATTATAGAAATCTATTGTCTATCGTCACTCATGCTCGATTACCTTTTATCAAGGATTGTACACAAAAATCGATTACTTATAGTAGACTGTGCACAAGAAAAATAATTGTCACATGTTGGAAAAAATGAGTAAATGACTCACTTTTGGCAAGATTTTCGATGGGATCCATTGGTCCAATTTGGAAGATCAAAGTTAATTCGTGTTCTCCTCCGTGAGAGCATCAAAATCATATATTTATTTGCCAAAATTGATGAATGGATGAATGAGAAATTGGAGTTCAAAGATGACCATTGAAAGATGGTTTATGTGAAAAAATAAAACTAGTCCCACATAGGAAAATGAAGAAAGTATAAACCACTTTATATAGGATTACACTTTGGAAGGGTGTAATCATGTGTAGTAAAAAGGCTATCTCTACGTGCGCGCGCAGGGGATGTAAATCACGGACCAAAATCGCCTTCGGACCTTTAACTTGTGTGCGGGCGCAACCAGCAATTTGCCCCTTTGAAGAGCCCATGTTTTTGCAATTTTTTTTCTTGATTTCTCCATTGACTCTTGAGTTTCAGAAACTGATGTAACTCCAATGGTTAATAGACAGATTAAGTCTATATAATTAAACTCAGTTTTCCAGCAATTTACATAGATGAAAAAATTGTCCTCTTCCTCTCTGCATATGTACTGTTTTCAGTTCTTTCTGGATACGCATATTCGTCGAGTAAGGTCGTGGTGATATTGTTCAGATGCTGTATCAGTTTGCTGGAGTAGTTTCTGTGGTGCTCAGATACAACATGTTTTACCGTTATATCCTGGAAAACAGATGCTCAGTTTAAAACTCAAGCACGCACGGTGAGAGGGTGAATCTGTTTTAAGGAAATTGTGCTTGCACAGGTCTCGAGTTAAAAGATTATTTTTTCAGAATTATGTGCCTTCCAGTTTATGTTTCTGTGCATTTCGTTATTTGCAGATTTACATGCTTTACAGGTTTAATTAGCAGATTTATATGATTTCCAGTTGTATATCTCTGTAAATAATATAATTTGCTATACATAATTCTCACAATTTATAAAATATATTTTGTATATACGAACTGGTATATGAAATTGTGTTTGTGCAAATTCAAATTTTATGTTTAATTCACTGCAAAAATCGATATGTTGTATATACGGTAAACTATTGCATATACAGTAATTTGGTGTAAATACAGTAATCTGTTGCAAATACGGTAAACTGTTGCATATACGGTAATCTGTTACAAATAAGGTATGCTACATATAAGGTAAACTGAAAATACGATATGCTGTATATACGGTAAGCAGTAAATACGGTATATATAAATCCAACATGTAAAGCTCATATATGGTATGAATGAATTCGATTTCATCCACTACACTAAAATCCAACAGTATATAGATGGGGATTAAGGGAGGAAGAGAAGTGGGGGTTAAAGGATCGTGAAGAGTTCGGGAAGAATTCATAGGACGACTAGGTAAGAAATTTATATTAGATTAGAAAGTTACATATTTCACATAGTTGATTTTACAGCATAGAATAAAATAGATTTTCACAATCAATTCTTTTTAAAGTTAAATTTAGTTTAGTTAAATAATTTCATTGGCATGTTATCAGCGTATTTAAGGTTAGTTAAAACCACTAGAAAGTATTCAAGTGATTTTACCTACTTTGCACTGATGTAAATGTGTCTTCACAGTATATAGTCCTAGTCATGGTGATTTTACCAGTGGTGCACTATTGTAAATGTATTTTCATAATGTATAACCAGGTTATAGCTTTTGAGTAGCTTTGCGCACATATGACTATAATTACAAAATTGAATAACTTTGTCGTGTACTTTGATATTCATCGATACATGAGTATGGTTATTTTGTGTATCTTTTTGATGTGATTTTTCAATGTTATACAGCTTATCAGATTTCAGATTTCACAATTTAATTTATTCAATTTACAAAATAAATATTTCATCTTATAGTACTGTGAACGGATATTCTGCTCACGGTATGGATGTGAAATTTATTATATCCATTATACCTTACAATGGTTTAGTCTGAATAAAGAATAAAAAAATTTATAATTCTATTATATTTTAGTTTTAAAAGTATTATCAAATTTCAGACTTTTTTAAAATTATAATAGTATAGGAGTTTTCAAAAAGTTGGTATGAATGGAAAAAAGTATAAGTTTGCAAACTATATACTCATTGAATTACAAACTCATATATTTTGTCATCATTTTTCTTATTAGATACTAGCTAAGTTAAGCAGTATTGGAGCCCCTTGATCTACCGAGTTAGCCACACATTGTCATTAGTTGTATGACTTATTTGTTAGTTTGTATAGTTCATATTTTTGGGGGCATATGCATCTTTTGTCAGCAAAAAATTAAATTGTAATTTAATATCATGAGCTCGTTGCTAATTTAGCATCTCAAGTGCATTTGGTGTTTCTGGTTTGTAAAAAATAGTATGTATATATATAATTCCCTGCAATTTATTTTGACTAGTTAGTTGTTAGAAGGGCAGGAGTTCCCTAATTTATATATCATATGCATATATTGGGAAATTTTTTGTTTTTTAGGTGGGTTAATCCATATTTTAGAGAAAACTCTATTATTATTACTATTTTTAAAAAATTAAAATGGTTAAAGTAAGTCAAAGTTGCTTTCGTGGTAGGTGCAACGTTTAGTTGGTATTTACCATCGACAAATGTCACGTTTCAAGTTCATTCGACACAGTTTGTTTTTCTTTTAGAGAGGTTGAGCTGCAAGAAATGTAGTATAGAATGTAGTTGTAAGATTGCAAAGGGAAATACGTTGACCAGCAAGAGTTGCTACATAGGGTGAATTTCATTCATTTCCTTTCTTATAAATTTTTTTTACGGTCACACAGAGTCTGGAAAAGTTAGAGACATGATCGCTATTAAGACCATAATTGAGGAACTTTGATGCAATTTTGTTGGAAAAGAAGTTTCGCAGCAAAAAAGACAGGTTTTTTCCTTTTAATAGTGTTGGCAGCGCTAATGTGGAGTGGTCAAAGATAGAGGGCAAATGGCAATTATACCCATACATCTTTTTAAAATTTTAAACACAAAAAACATGACAAAAATGCACTTATATTTAACCCCCGCCCCCCCATATCGAAGCTTAAAAATTCACTTTTAAGTGAAAAAGAAAATTATAAGTTATAACAATAATTAATATCACTGATCAATCACTTTTAGTGTTCACATTTCGTGACTATAAAAATTGGTGCATATAAACTCACAAGTCCCCGACAATGCACTACTTTAAGTTCTTTAAAGCTTTCATTTTCCAAGAGAGAGTTGGGATTAATGTCAGTGGGTTCAATACTCATCCCACGTTTCAAACTTCAATGTGTTGTTTCTAGAGTTTTAATTCACTCCTTCGAAAACAATCCGACAGAATTACCTGAATGCAGGAATTGATCAACAGGATCAGAAATTGTAATTCGAGCCCACCGACTTCACGATGTGTCCTTAAAACGAATTTGCTGCCTTCAATGGTGCTAAAGGCGTGTCCAGCAATCGTTTCCCAGGATAGAACGAATTTTTCGTCTCCTACGGAAGCAGCACTGCAGTCTGTAGGAGTTCCAACGAACTCAACGAAGTGTTTTTGACTTCGAGACAATATCAGAACGAGAGAGAGGGAAATGAGATTCAAAGCACAGAAAGTTTGCAATGAAAATGGTGTAAATTTTCTGGTAGAAAGGCTGGCTATTTATAGACTTGTTCGTGGCCATTCGAACAGTCATCACCTTTCAGACAAGCCTCAAAAATCCGAACAGACATACTGTTCTTAAAAGTCGTGTCTGTTAAGTCGGTTAACAGTCGACTGTTTGGTCGGTAAACAGTCGAAACAGTCGACTGTTACAAGAAAATAAAACACTCGGTTACTTTCCTATGTGGGATAAGTGTTTGGCAAATCAAATTCTTCCATAATCCTTAGTTTATGTGGGTTACTTTAACGCTTAATATTTCATTCAATTTTAAATGGTTTTCGATAAATAAATATATCACGTTAATCATCTAGAACGTGAATATGCTAGGTCCCGTATTATTTAAAAGGTGGGTCCCACTGAAACTTGGGCTCAAAGTTGACCCATTAAACCATTTTTTCCAACACAATGTTCTCAAATTCTGTGGATTATATCCATGCATTGACACAATATACAAAATTGAATTGATATACAACCACAATACAAAGACCTAACCGGTGAAATCCCAGCTAAAATGGCTACCGTATTATATTTTGTATATTCACATTGGAACTTGGAAGAGTGATCTAGTCGCTACATATAACAAAACAAGAAAGTTTACTTCACCAATTTGGCTGTGATTAAAGGGGAAACCATATGTAGTTCCAAGAAAGAATTAAAAAAAAAAAAAATCTGTTAACAAAAGCAAGGTCTCAAGAACATGCCCCTTCCAAATTATGATCCCTATTCGAACAGGTATATGAAATCAGACGGTTCATACTTCCCGATAGCCTTTGAAGAACCATCTATAGTCCTGTAATAAATTAATCACCAAAATGATAGACCAAGCAAAGGGGTGAAAAATCGCCTTTCCTTCTGAACAGAAAGCCAAACAAAAATGAAAATGGAACCTATTCAAAGCTCGTTATAGGATCTAACATACCCTTCAAACATTAATTGCTTCTTCTCTTGCAACTTCAAAATCCTCTCCTCGATTGTGTTTTCAACGATAAACTTCACAATCCTAGTAATGAGCAAACAAATATTACTAGCTTAAAGGGCTTAACCGACTGTAATAATAATCAGAGAAAGATCCGAAATTGCAAATCACCTGATTGGTTTGTATTGTCCTATACGATAGATTCTTTCCTGAGCTTGCTGCTCCACAGCAGGATTCCACCATGGATCCATCAAGAAAACCTAGCAGAGAAAGCACTAATTGAGTCATGCGGTATAAGCTATCTATATACTGTATCAAAATCACAGACAGAGACACATGTAAGAACAAGGCAAGAAAGTAGTAGTCCATACATTTGATGCCACTGTAAGATTGAGGGCAACACCACCGGCTCTCAAGTTTATAAGGAATATTCTGCAATCAGGATCCTCATTAAATCTTGTGATAGCAGCATCTCTAGCTCCTAGGGTCATACTCCCATCATATTGCACACAGTTCACTCCCGACTGCAAAGAGACTGTGTTACTCTAGTTTCCTCTCCTTGATATACAAAGTATTAAAAACCCAACACACGCATGTTGTACCTGCTGAAGAGAGTAATGTATGAGATCCAGAAAGGATGTAAATTGGCTGAAGACAATTCCCTTTGCTGAACCATCCCTTTCAAACATGTCTCTGATTTCCTCCCTCTGATATTAATTAACTCACAATGTGCAAATACCACAGACTAAAAATAAAGAACATGTAGACAACTAACTAGAAATTCAACAAGCATACAAATAAACATTTAATGGAGCTTCAACGTGTCAGTTATTGCCTTCGAACAGTTTCATAAAGGCATCCTTTGCCCCTACAAACTAGTACTACCTTAATTCTTCAAACTATATAACTTTTTTATATATACTAATTTATTTCCTCTGGCCACCTCAAAATCCTATTGACTACCCTCATTGGGGTTAGCTGGGAAGCGAGAGGGAAAGGAGAGTTAATCTCCTCTGGAGACGGATGGAATAACTAGAGCATCTACTTTAGGCGAAACGACGGCAAATCTGATAGATAAAATACATCATATGTAAAGCACAAAATATAAAAATGGGGGCTTTTCAAACTTGTTCCAAGGCAAAGCTTACTGCAACAAACAGTTTCAGTTTATTAAAAGGAATTTTAAATGAAACCCTGTACTTTTCAACTATTTCACAACAAAAAAACCAGGATATATTGTTTTTCGGTTTAAGATTTATCCTCTCTCTTTAGGTGAAAATTTTCAAATTTCATCAAGGAACCATGTTAAGTTAAAAAATGCTCGTGTTAATGACAATCAACTCACATAAATGCATATGAATGTAGAATAAAAAGGAAGGGCCACAAGAGAAAAACGCTTGCATGTGAAGCTCAAAAACACAATCTCGTTCCCTCTGCAGCTCAGAAAGAAAAAGGCAACATGCAAACTTGGTGTCGTAGACTTAATCACTGATGGTGTTTCAATGATGCCTGAGAACAGTGCTTCATATTAGGTTATGTGAGAATGATCTCTGGTGGCTACAAATTGTAGGTGAACGGGTGTTAGAGATCCAAGAAGGGCAGGCAGGGGAGGAATAGACACTTGATCAGGTAGAAGGTCCGAGTTGATAGTAGGATGAAGAGGATAAACACGCACAATAGCCAACAAGTAAGAAAGAAAGAAAGAGACAGGCCGAGATGATCCTGGCCTCGTGCAGTTGGCATCATGATATGTAGTACCTATCCTTCAAAAGATATCACTTCTTGAGAGAAATAGATATGGAGTGAGGGAAAGAAGGAAGGAAGAGGAGACAGGCTGGGGGGAGAGAGGGATGTAATCATCATTGCATTTTCCACTTGCTGTGCCAACATATACTTATAAAAATAAAATAAAAAAGAATCGAATTAGAGGAACATCCCCTTAAATTCATTTTTTTAATGTTTTATTTTCCTTTTTATGTGTGTGTGTGTGCGTGCGCGCGCATGAGTATTTTGTAGTGCTGGGGGTGTTCAAGTTTGACATACCAAAGCTTCTATTTTAGTGCTCGTCTTGAAAGCCTTGAGTTGAATTCTATTCAAAATACTAGAGGACTTGAACCCTAAAATGGTGCTTTCATTCTGCTCCCTGCAATCCTTGCCAGTAGAATCAACAGTGAGTGGTGTTGAACACGAAGGGCAGGAGTCCTGTCCCATGATAGCAGAATAATCTATCAAACAAGATTTGCAGAACATGTGTGCACATGATGTCACCTGAAGCAATAACAAAGTACGTATAAGAAAAGAGCAAAAACCAAAGCGATAGAGCAAGCCAAAGATCTTGTTATGGTCCAGGACGAATGCACATCCACATTGAGATCAACTTCAGTCATGATATTTGACCTGGTTATCAACTGTATAAAATGGACAAAAAGTATAATATCAAAGGGATGTAAAGTAGCAACTCACAACAGGATCTTCTACAAGATCTTGACACAAGCTACACTGTTCACCGTTGCAAGTATCAACTGCTTTACCCTTTCTTTCCGATGCAGTATCAGAAAATTGCACTAAGTAAGGATGATCAACTGCCTGTAGTAGATAATATGTGAAAGAACTGGAGTTAACAAGAGATATCTTTTAAATAACTGGACAATTTGTTGTCGCCTAATTATTTTCAGGTTATAACTACTCCCAAATCATGATATTGTACGTCCATATTAAATTTTCAGTAAATTTACAGGGAGCTTCTAGGTCATAATATCACGACAATCTATTTCTTGTAGAAGCAAAATACGTATTGAATAAATATCAACCGTTGAAAAATTATAATTACAACAGCAGGAAAAATTCAAATAGCATCATTTGCAAACACAAACAATCATTTGTGCTTCCAACATTTCTTCCAGTCTTCCAAAAATTATGAACTCCAGGAATGCATTTAAAAATGTGTTAGGCAAAAAATATCAAGACTACAATAGAGCAGAAGAACCCTTAACCTGTCGTAGGCGCGTTAGATGTGAAAATATGTGAGTACGGTTATTCATCAGTGTTCCTGCTTCTACATATCTGCAGATAGAAAAGTTTATTGTATAACAACAAGAATGAACTCAGAAATAATAAAATTCTTATGATATCAACAAAAATGTCCAAGACCTCCAATGTTAATGGAAATTCAAGATTGAGCAAAGTAGGAAAAAAAGGGTAAAATGAATTCACTCATTTCACAATCAGGTATACAGATGCAGTTTAGCAACTATTTAAGTGGGAAAAATCATTCAGAATATGAATGCCTCAATTTCCAATTCCTATATGACAACGGAACATAAGCAAGTAACTCAGGAAGACTCAGTTGGCCAGGACAATACATTATACAACAGCCATTAGAGATTGAAAAGCCAGGCTGGAATCCTTCAAAAACAGGCCATCAGAAAATAGCAACAATCGTTGAAAAAAATTTAAATAGAAAGACGCCAAAATAGTCCACAAAAATCAATCATTAGCTAAGAAAAAGCGGCATCCATAAACTTCAAGGACAAATCCGTGAAATGCCATATGGAATAATCAGTTGAATACTTTCAAAGAGTAACAACACTAGAGAGCTGCGAACCAGAGTTTCCTAATTAATAAGACATAGTCGAAGGTCAAGAAATTTAATCATCAAGCATCCTTTTAGATTGTCAAAGAAACAGAAATGATTAGTAGATGACGTACGTATTGAACCGTGCCCGACACTTCTTGTACAATGCTTTATAATAATCTTCTTCTACAACATCCAGTGTAAGCCGTTTTATGATAACCTGAATTACAATTAAAAGCTTAACTAAGTAGCATGGATTTTTGAAATATTAACTGTTAAACGTCAATGTTATAGCCTCAAAAACATACAGTTCTATGAGGCAGTGCAAGATCAGCAGCCCTGCCCTTCTTGGTACGTCTCAACATTATGCTTTTCAAAATTTTGTGTGTCAACAAATTCATAGCATCCCTGCCGCCCCTCCTCCTTAACGGTGAAGTAATATACTGAAAAAAGAAGGATATCACAGCCTCCACACTAAAAAAATGAATCTCTTCATCTTCTGTAGTTTTTTGAATTATAAGATTATGAGGGTTTGCCGGTACCATGAAGTTCTGCTGGTGATCGAAAAAGAAAAGAGTACAAGTCGAGAATTAGCAACTCACTTTGTCCCACCAGCAAAAGTGCCGAGTTTTGTGAAGGCAGTGTGGACATTCTCCTCCGGCACTATTCTCATACAGAAGGTTGATTAAATATGCATGGAATAAGCAAAAATAAATGAAAAATTCAAGGTCTCAAGGTCACTAAAATTAGAGGCCCATTACAAGGTACTTCTGGTGTTGCCACACGTGCCCTTCTAAGATAAGTGTGCAGCATGTGCCCTTAGCTTTGTAATGCTGTTTTACTAATCAGACTAAGAAATTCATTCCGAGAAATGAAGAAATATGGCATTAAAATTTAATAGAACGCTGCATTTAGAACAAAGAAGTACTGAGGGCAAGGAGCTAGCCAAAAATATTGCTTGTGCACAGAAAGCGAGAAGCATGAATAAAAGAAAAATGTTGTAAATTGCTCTGTGCACAGACATAAATCCTGCTGACAGTCGTGGATTTACCAGGAGGCAAGTGGATAGACATTTTTAACAATAATATGTTTCCAATAATCAGACTTCACATTTGCACCTGCAGATTTGTTGTTTCATTTCCCAGATATTTAAGTTTACAATCCGAATGCTTTGAAGCCCAGTTCTTTACAGAATCGAACACTTGTTGTTCATTGCCAAGTCTTGTTTGCACCTTACCACCGTGACATGGATATGCTAGATAATCCTCACGTTGTACAAAGAGGACGTTATGACCAGAGACTGGCTTAGGAATGTGGTGTATATCCAGTGGCTTACGAAGAGGACGCCACTCAAAAATTTTCGTTTTGAATTGGAGTAAGGGTGGGGGTTTTCAAGGGTTAGGAGGCAAGATTTATTTAAACACTTATAGGGACATGGAAATACTTCGACTATACCTGTAATCTAGTGAGCGGCAATCACAATCTTTACAGAAGTAATAAGAGTAAGGAACTATCTGCAGAAACCGAACCTGCATGAATGGAAGTATCTTTCATTACATCTATTTAAAGAGTAAGTATCTTTCATTAGACCAAACTAATCTACTTCCACAATAACTTACAAATGAGTAGAGCTCTTCAATATGATTCTGGAGGGGTGTGCCAGTCAAAGCCCATTTATATGAAGATTGTAAATCAAAAACAGCTTTGGCTTTGATTCTGCGTTTATCTTTTATATCATGAGCCTGTATCAGATAATATAGTCAGTCAATTGGGAAGCAATCACCAATTCAAACTTTTTCTATATGCAGGATCATTTATATTTCCAGAAATAGTTAAGGAATGAAATCTGCTTTAAAATTAAAAAAAAAAAAAAAAAAAAAGGCAATTAAAGTTCTGACAAGATGATCACCAAGATCCATTTCCGATATAATCAAAAAGGTTTCCTGCCAGCAAAAAGCACCTCAATAAGCAGGTTTATTGCTGAATGCACCTCGTCACATGGTTTGAATGCATGATGGAAAAACAAAGAAAATGCTAGCATTAATTTATTTTGCATCTCAAATTAAACACATAACAAGCAAGGGTGACACAGGAATCAATAACCGAGGAAATCCGACATAGAAGTACTCAATGATAGTGAAATTTGAGGGCTCCATCATCCAATGTCATGTAATGAGCCACTGGGAAAAGAAGAGAAGCAGAACCAGGTGAAGAGAAGAAGGAAATGGAGGAGGAAAGGCCAACCGAAGGAACCGAAGTGACATCGTTTTGGTTATATAAAACGGCTCGTTTTGGGTTAATTAATAACTAATAAAGCAGTTAAAATTTCCTTTTATTATTGCTTCGCGAAAACCCAACATTTCTGTTTTGTGGCTATATATACAGCCATGGATGCATCGTGCCTTACAATCAGTGAAAATCTGCAATTTCTGTTATGCAATGGATTGATTAATTTCAGTTACCATCTTCATCTCTTCTCAATTTTATCATTTATCCCTCCCCAGTTCATTTTTATCTTAAATATGGTTACCATTTCAGCTGATTCTGCTGGAACATTCCATAATTTCCAATGTCTAAGTTACGGGTAGTGAGGATCAAAGCTGAGTTCCAGCCGTGACATCCAAAAGAAATAAATGTAAAATTACACTATGAAAATGCGAAATAGAATCAGAATCAGAATGATAAGGGACTCATACAACAAAAAGAGCATATCACCAAGAAACCTGATGGATTACCTCATCCAAAATGATACGTTCCCATTTCACAGAATGTAGCATAGATTTGCCTGTAAGCACAGAATTTTCAATTGAATATTCAAGTCCCAGTTCCTTCTCCCGGCTCTTCCTATCTTTCTTGGGACCTCTCTTCCTAGTTTTGAGTACAGAGTTAGAGGTATTCTTCTGCTTACATGGAGATCTCAAGTGCATTTTCAACTTCTTTTCGTAGAATAATTTTCCACATACGAGGCATTTCTCTTTTGGTATCAGATACTTCCTGGAATCAGTCGCAAGAACGTTATACGTAGTAATAACAAAGTCATACTCAGAAAATCGACAAAAGTTCTCTTCTCTTTTCGCTCCATGATAAAGAAGCACCTTCGTGCTTCCTCTCGCAGTGCAACGTTCAATCTCACTTACCCACTGCATTGCAGCCGCCAAGGGACATACAACGAGAGTGCCTTTAATTATATACGAGGGTAATTCAGTCCCAGGAATGGCTGGGTTCATTTCTCGTTTTTTTAGAACGAGGGATATTGCCTGGACAGTCTTGCCCATCCCCATTTCATCTGCAAGAATACCTCCTCTCATAGCAGATGCTTCTTGCTTTACAGACCAAGCCAACCATTCTTTCTGGTACCTCAATAGCGGCATTATCAAATCTGGTGGAGGCTCAAGAACATCACGCAACGTATCATTCTGATTGCTCAAATCAATGTCTCCGGTCGAATTCTCTGCAACCCACCTCTCATTTTCTTGTTCCCATACTTGCCACAATAATGTGGGTTTCTCCCTTTTCTTACTCCTCTTCTTTCTCCCCTCAATAATATTCACATTCAGTTCTCCTTCTCCCTGCGCAACTTCCAAGACATGATCATAGTCTAAAATCTCTTCCTGTCCGTTCTCTTCAATCGCATTCGATATATTTTCATCTACATCAAGAAATGCGCCATAATTGGAATCCGACGACAGCGTATTACTATCGGAATTCGACAAAACCGTATTCCTATCATCCTCATAAGAGTTCTCTATGTATTCAGGATTTTTATTCCCTTTGGAAGACGAAGCTTCATCACCATGAGAGCGAGGCTTCATTGTAAATGCGAAGTATATCGGAAAGAAAATTAGGGTTTTTTTTCTTGTTCGCAACTGAAGAAATCAAGAAGGCGGAAAATCACCCAACAGTTGCAGTCAGTTTCTAATGCCACGCCACCGAAGAGAGGCGGGAAATGAGAATGAGAAGTGACAGCGAGTGAATTTTACTATAAGCCAATGAACTTCAATTAAAATTTCGAGTTGGTCCATAAAATATTTTTGTGACTCATTTAGTCACTAAAGCTACATTAATGTTAAAGGATTAACCATTTCGTTAGCTTGATTAACGGTGCATCCATCGTAGTAGCTGTTAAACCCTTACGTGGATAATGATCGACATATGATCGATTCTTTCTAGTTAGCCTCATGTTATAGCTATTTTGTTACCTGTTTGCTTTTTGTCGATGATGAAAAATATGAATATTTAAGTTACTAAATTTATCATAAATATACTTTTAACTCAGACTATTTAAATACAAGCTTGAAATCAAACTAAACTGTTCATTTTTCAACCAAATCGTTAGTTTAACATTTGTTTGGGAGAATTCTTCTATTGAAAATTATTTTTTAGCCGTGGGTGTGGGCACGATTTTCTTTTTTTTTTTTTTTTTTTTTTTTTTTTTTTTTCAAATAAAGACCTCTTTCTGTCTTCTCGGGGCCAAAAACTTCCATTTTGAGCCCGCGACCCATCGCGGAGCACTTTCTCACTGATTTAGTGAGATAAGTGTGAAACTGGTAGGAAAAAAATTACGGCTCTTAGAATATGTGGTTGAAAGAAAAAGATTTCGAGGGAAAACAATTTTGAAAAAGAAAAATATTTCCCAAACAAATACTTAACCCCCGTTTGATTCCCATTCTTATAAGAACGAGAATAAAAACTATAGTTGTTACGGTCACATATGATGACTTGATTTGATGGAGAATGATCATATTTTTGATTTTTGTGGTCAAACAATGGAAAACAAACGGGGCCTTAGTTTCAGATTATGGTTTATCAGACGGTTTAAAAGTTACGCTTTGCAAGCAATATATATAGGTCTAAAATTTTAGTAGAAACTTAAAAAATTGGAACATTGTTATGATCTAAAGTAATGTTTTACGAACAAGTTAAATGCATTGGAGGAGGCCTTCATGATTTTAAGGCATCAATTTATTTTCCCTTTTTGATAAAGCCATTCAAGTCAAGGTTAAGGTTTTTACGGCTTCTTACCTATTATTTAATGGATGGTTTTGGCTTTTCTCTTTCCCTCATTATATTGATGTGAAGTTTAATATACAAAGGGGACTTAAAGGGAGACCGCAGTGGGAAAAATATTTATGTTCTATCTAGTGATCTAATTGTTTTAAACATTTGTATAAATAATAGAATAGAAAGGCGAAGCAATCTGTTCTATATTATAGCATGAGCTCACTGCAGTGGGAAAAATATTTATGCAGCTGGCTGAAAAATATAATGAAATCAGATTTCTAATTTTGTAGTTAAAGAAGGTATTTAAGCCCGTTCTTACTCACAAACTTGTCTATACACAAATTAGACGAAATCCTCTCTGAAGTAGTTCACAAAAACTAAATGCACTATGCAGCAACTAATTAAGAGAACTTCAGGTGGTGAATTCTAAAGTTGATTTGGACATTACTCGACATGATTAAAGAAAAAAACACTTGATAAATGGCATTCGCCGAGTATTTAAGGCATCTTTCAGTTGATGGTTTGTATGTCTTGAATGCCCGTTGGCCTTTGAAAACGTTGTATTGCTGGCATGTCGGGTGGAATAGCCACTCTCCAGTATACAGTGGCCATTAACTCTTGTGCTTTGGAGTGTAGCATGGCCTAAGTTTGAATGTTGTCAATCTAAATACGAACCTATAGGTACCAGTAGCAGAAATGCCTGCTTTTCTGTTACCTGCAATCTTACTAGACAAGTTTGGAAGAAAGCCATTAAACACTGGGGCTCAATGGTTCAGCAGGCTCGAGAATTCGCTAAAATTCCACTACGGAATATGGAACGTGGACCGAATGATTTATGGTACTTTTGGGATTTTGGCATGGCCGGAACGTATAATTTGCTGTTTATTTTCACGGTCAAGCTTTCCCCGACCCCGTTAGAAATGCAGCACAAGTGGGAGCAATACTGGTGCCATTTGTTATGATTTTGGGTGATGGAATTCCCTTTATGGTGTTTGGAGTACGTAGGATAGCTGGAGGACTTTTTGGCATTTTATCTACCAGAGACTTTAAACGGGCCTTTATATGATACAATGGGAGGAATGGAGGATGGAGAAGGTGCACAGGCTAATGTTTAAGGCTTTTTAAAGGGTGAAATTTAAAGTAGCTTAAACTTAGAGAACCATTTTACATAAAATTTGTCACCATGTGGATCAAAGTTTATTAAGATTAACAAAAATATCATTATAAAAATCAAATATTAGTAAAGAATGAGTACTAATTTCTCATAAATTTTAGTATAATCAAATTCCACAGTGCTAGTGTTGCTAAACACAATCAGGCTTCATGCTTGATTCAAGAACATATCCAGGACACATAAATATGCAGACATCACATGTCTAGTTTCACGGTGGTGACTATAACTCTCACTCAAATCATCAAATAGCGAGAGACTACATGTTCTCTTTAAATCAAATTACAGGCTTCAATTCAAGATTAAATAGCTGTTTTCCTGGAATAATGTATGTTCAACGAGTGGAATTTTAATCACCGCTGACCTTCCCGTGGATACCCATTGTTCAAGGAGGGGAGAGGAGGTCTTGGTCTTGCATACTCCGCGAAAATAACCCAACCATCCAAGAACTGCAAATAGAAACTCAGCTGTTCAAAATACCATGTGAAAGCCAGTGTTTGAATAGGCTTAATTAAATATAAAGGCATTTTGACCCCATGAGGTAAGGCATAAGCCTCAAGATAGGACAATGTAAAAATTCAAAAGAATATAAAATACAGAAATACGCTAATACCATATATTCTCTCAAACAATCCATAATAAAATGTCACAAAGTAACAAGTGAAAGGCTGCTCATCAAGTTTGGTGTTTATCTAGCAAGGGCTCAAATGTAATTAGTCCGATTTAACAGTCTTTTAGCTATTAACCAAAGTGGCCATCTATCCCAAAAACCTAAAACCCATTTGATCTCACTCAATTACATCACACCTGACTAAGCAGCAATTCTCAGTACAAAGCATAATAAGCAATTATCAAAGGTGAAGAACCAAATAACAACTTAGTGTTCCTTCTATTATCATGTTTCCAAATAGCAGTCTAATAATATGCCAAATATAAAAACCTTTTGACCACTTGTTAGGACCAGCACATTACATTTAAGTAAGGTGTCTCTGCCCATAAGATCAAATTATTACAGTTACTCTAATGAAGGCTTATGTGGAAGAGGTTATGGTAAAACGAAAGCCCAAGACGCTAGAAGATATATATAGATCAAACATGGGCAAGACACTACATTCGCTTCTAATTTTAATGTTGTGCATGAGTGCGAGCGTGTCCATATTCCGACATACATGCTCATGCACATGAAACCCCCAAAACAAAAAACAAAACAAAAAATTGAAAAGGCATAAGTTGAGAGTGGGTGAGTGAGTAAGACGAAATATCAAACCCCCTTTTCAGTTTCTTCTTAATTTTGATCTCAATTTAAGTTCAGAAACTGGGGTTTAATCCACTTTGGGTCCCTTCTTAGAAATGAGGAAAAGCTGTATCTCTCACCACCTACCAACATCCTCTCACCCTTTCTCCTCCAAACAGAATTTGCACGGGGGGCTCATCTCTAGATCTAAAAAGTACTAAAGAAATGAAGATTTTTCATTAAAGAAACGAAGATGAAAGAAAGAGTGAGTAAGTCATAAAAAGTTAGGCAGAAGGTTGCCAACCCTACAACATGCAGCTATTACATATATAAATACATTTGTCTACCAACTGCAAATGTGCTTAATTGATCACCACTAACCTGGCCATCCATGCCCTTTATCCCTGCTTCAGCTCCTTCTAAAGTTGCATAATTTACAAACCCAAAACCCTTTGAGTAACCAGACACACGATCAGTCACCACTTTAGCTGCAAAAAAGGCAAAAAGAATTCATAATACTTTGTCGAGCCACCTCCACATGGGTCCTAAGTTTTGAAGAAGCTAAAATAGAACATACCATTGACTACTTCACCAAACTTAGCAAAGGCATTTCGGAGGCCTTCTGTAGTTGTACGTTTGCTAAGCCCTGAACATATATACAAAAGGTCCAATGAGAACAGACACAAGGACCCACAATGAAAACAAACCAAGGCAACAAATAGAAAATTCGAGACAGCAAAATGCTGCTGACAGTGGATGTGGGATCTCGAGTTTTTTATGATCTAACAAGACATTTAGCAGTTTCACTTGAAGACATAGATCTTTAATGGATTGACATCCATATAACGTAAGGTGAGAAAACCAGAATTAGATTTTATGGAACTACAAACAAGCAACGAGGCAGGCAAAATCTTGTTCTCCATCAAATTAGCATTGACGCATTAAACAGTCAGGGCTACTCATAACCACGCAGCTAATACAAATTAAACAGAACAAATTCATCAAACACTTGGAAAATGCTTCTCTTTGAGCCACAAAATTTTACTCATCGGTATATGTGTCAAGTAAAATTCCAACGCAGACATTAAACATTATGATTTGGCACAATAAAAGTATGAAGCAAAACGAAGTAGATGATAAAGCAACACAAAGTGAACAAGGGAAACGAAACTAAGGGAACATAGAGATAGAGACATACCAGAAACGAAGAGATTGGTGGATGGTTCAGCGGGCGGAGGCTTCTCAACTTGAGTCGGTGGCAAATTAAAGGAAAATCCCGGTAAAGACGAATACAGGGCTCTTAGGCCTCTCGGAGCTGCGGTGGATACGGCCGCCACCTTAATAGCCGCCGCCCTCATTGCCATTTCTGGGGTTTAAGCTCCTTATGCTGGGTTTTCAGAGAATTCGATTTGGATTGTGACCTGGCTTTCCTTTCTTTATAGTAGTCAGCTACGATTTAGGAAATGGGCTACATCGACCCATAGCTTTATTTCAATTTGGGCATCTGGAACCGGATAATTAACAAAAATAGCACAAAATGGGGAGTTAATTATTTTGCACGTTTTAACGTTAAACTTAAAGCAAAAGATTTTAAAAAGTTTTGGGGAATTTGGAAATTGGAATTGTAGCCATAAATAGAGATCTACTTATTTATTTTTCAGAGGACGTGGGGAGGGAGGTAACAATTCTTAACCATTTATCTTAGTTGTGAAAATCACAATTTTTAATTAACTTGGACGCGGTGACTTGGTAAACAGGGATGTATTTTCAGAATTGTCATATTTAGGAAAAAAAATTAAAAAGACAAAACCGCCCTTTCGGTAAAAATCACAATTTTATTGTATGGCTAGGATTTCATAATATATGACGGTGCACACATCTCTAAGACTAACATAGTGGCTTCTTAAGTAGAATAATACTACTTGACCATAGCTTTTGACACAGATTTTGACATAGTGAGATGGAAAATGGGGTAAAAAAAAATGAAAAAAAAATTCTGCTAACCGGTTTGCAAAAAAGGTTTGAAATTCAAAATTTGAATTTTCACTTATACCCGGCCCAATAGCCTTACCCATTTTAAACAGTCATTTGACCGGGTGAAAGTGAAATTACACTTTCCTGTTTGCATCTTTCCCGCATATTGGTGCAATTTTCCTTGCTGATTTGGTGCAATTTTCCTTCCAACCGGGTGAAGTAGCGCCGATTTGGTGCGATTTTCCTTGCTAATTTCCGACGGTGTTAAATATCAAAGTTAAATGTTACCTTTTAGTAAGGAAAATCATCGATTTGTTGGTAGCGAAGGTGAGCTTTGATTTTTGGGGTTTTGCTATTCTTCAACTGTCGATTTTTAGCACTTTCTTTGAACTCGCTCTGGTATTGGTGGGTACGGTTGAGGTGGTGGTGTTTTTCCGTGGTGGGTTCCGATGATGGAGGGGAATTTTGTGGGTCGATTTGGAGCGATTTTCCTTGCTGATTTCCGGATATGCAGTCTACATGAGGGGATGAGGCTCCAATCAAAGGTAAGTGGGTGTTGAGGAGATATTTTGGGCTATGGTGGTGGGTGGGTCAACGACTTTGGAGGCGATTGAAGGTGAATAGGTATTACAGTGTCCCTTTTTTGCATAATCAATCTTTTATTTGGTGCATTGGAGGTGGTGGTGAGTTGGAGGTGCTGGTGGTGCAGGTGAAGTAAAATAGTGCGTATGAGGTGGTGGTGGAGGTCATGCAATGGAAGCACGGGGTGGTGGTGATGGTGGTGCAATGGAGGTGGAGGTGGTGCTGGTGGTTTGGACGATGGTGAATGGTGGTGATGGATGGTGGTGCAATCAAGTTCAGTCACTATTTTTCAAGATTTGCCTTGCAATTTTGAAACATGATGATGGTTAATTGAACATGGAGATTACTTTGAACGTGACTATACGCAAACGAGGAGAGCACGTCACCAAATGGGAGAAGAATGGAAATTCGATAGCTCGAGCTAAAGCATTTTTGTTTGAATGATATAGTAATTTAAATTATGTAAATTTAAATTATGTAAATGTAAATCCTTTGTAATATCAATCTTTTAAATTGGGATCCTTTTTGTCTTGGTTATGTACATGTTCAGCATTTATCTATGGGTGTGTGAGAATGGGGAAGATTACTGCTAATTTGAATGTTTTCCATGAAATAAAACAGAACGAAACATTACAATTTGTTCTAACAAAAATATTTTCTATATCACATCAAGTGCATTGAGCATAAGGATGGACACATGCTGGCCTTTCCAATGAACAACAGTCTTCTCCAAAATAACACATATACACAAACACACTAACACTTCATACAAGAATTCTGCCTGCAATGACAATTAGCATCCTTCTTATCTCCCAATTCCATATACTACAGGGCACCTTCCTTCAAGATCACCATAGGCTGAAAGATTGCAAAAAATTGGGGAGGCTCTTTTCCTTGAAATATCCAAACTGGTCTCTCTTTCAGTGAGTTACACATTGTAGTGGCCAATCTAGCAGCCATTCGTTGGTCCCCCTGAAAATAGATAATTGTTCTGGTTAATACTCATAAACAAGTTTCTGGAAAGTAGTAACATAACATAATTCTGTTAACGTACAAGTGGTTCATGTAAATGTCAACTGATCAACATTTAAATCTAAATATAATTTCTCACCAAAATTATACATTCTAACTATCGTCATTTATCAATAGTATACAAACCCACAAATGCATTTGCTGGAATTTAAGCTACATTTTTATATCATCAAATTGGAACTGAAAAAATGATCAAATCAAACTTGAAACTGATTCTGAAAGATTGTGGTTTACCTTGCATATTGAATGTCAAGCTTGTTGACGATGGAGGGTTGATACATGAGGATTGCAAGTGTTGTGTGAAGTGAAGATTTTGGTGGCCACCCTACGTGAAATGATATTATTAGTAAATTGTATATTTCCATTGAAATGAAATCATAAATGAATGCTAACCATAAGGAGGCTTGTATAGGAGAAAGGTAGTGGCGTGTGTAATTCTCCAGGTGGCAGAATGATGGGTGTAACATTTCTCTTATTGCTTGTGCTAACCTTCGGTTTCTTTCCTTTGGCTGAACTCAAAGTTCCCTGCAAAATACGGAATGTTATTAGACATTATCTTTATAATGAGTTGACAACATTTGGATACCAAAATTTGAGCACTACCTTGACTTTGTTCAAACTCGATTCCAATGGGCTCTTCTTCCGAATTTTCTTAGGGGCACCTTTTCTTTTCGCACTTTCCGGATCCCTTATGCTACCACTCGCAATACGCTGTGATGCTCCACATTTGGATGGTGTCTGAGTATTACGCAAGACATTACTATTACTACTTGATCTCAACATCATCATTTTTTGACATTGACTGTTGATCCAATCAATTATGACATCAAATTCGACATCATCATCCACAGTCATGTCAGCCAGTGTAGCAAAGCGTTGACACATTTTATCGTACTTTAATTGTTCAGGAGTCCCAATCAAACCATCATAATTCACTGCTACCCTCATGTGGACTCTTCTGACATCTCGTTTCCATCTTCATAGTATATATCTTTTCGGTACAGATTTGACGTCATTACGGATCAATACTGTGATCGTATGTCTGCAAATAATCCCTCGAAGTTCAAAATTGTAACAACTACAAGTGATTTCACACTCGTCTCTTTGAAATGAGACAAAAAAGGTTTTTTTTCTTGGAACGCTCGCCATGTATTACATTTTCTCGTATCTCGTAAGTCGTCCCCAATAATCCCTCCGAAACAGATATGAGATCGCAATAAACCTTACCGTGAACTCCTCTTGAACTTTCTTGAATTTAGAAATCGTGTAAACTGATGGAAATTGATTTTCCATTTCGTACCTCGTTGCGCACGGCACCACTTGAAGTCTGATTGAAACTCCTTCTCAACCTTATTTCTCAATGCTCCTTTGTATTGTTCAACAAATTGCTTCATGTCATCTTTGAATGTACATAATCATCAAAGAATGTATTCATACTCTCACTGTGTTGAGTAGTTGACATCCCTGCCCAAAATGTGATTTTCAAATAGCAAGGCATCCAACGTTCCCTGTTCTCGTACAAACCCGCCAACCACTCATTATCATACAAGTGAAACTTTTCGATCATCACTCTCCAGCCATTTTCAAATTCTTCTACGATTGACAATCATAGACCAAATTGTATATAGTAGTAAATATTGTACCTTTATCCACATGGTATCCAAACTTCTCAGGCAATTTTTTCAATATGTGCCACAAACACCATCTATGCCTTGTATTGGGGAACACAATCTGGATTGCATTTTGCATTGTCTTGTCCTGATCTGTAATTATCCCATGTGGAGCCTGTCCGTGCATGCATTGTAGCCAGGTCCGAAACAGCCACACAAATGTCTCTGTATCCTCATTCGATACCAGACCACATCCAAAGAGTGTCGACTGTCCATGATGGTTCACTCCAACAAAGGAGGCAAATGGCATATCGTACCTGTTAGTAAGGTATGTAGTGTCGAATGTGACAACATCACAACTCTTTATATGCTTGTCTACTCCTATAATCTGTCCAGAAAACATTCTTTCGACACAACTCCTCATCCAAATCCATACTAAAGTAAAAGTCTGGGCACTGTGCTTGCATCTTAGAGAATTATGATTGCATTGCTGCCGCGTCCCTTTCTCCAAGTCTTAAACGCCTAACTTTTTCAACATAGTTTCGACAATCATTTTCGATGCAAGTCATATTCTCATATTCACCTGTTTCAACAACTGTAGAGTTGTAACTCTTTTGTAATGGAATTATTGCAATGTCATTTATTTCAAGTCGTCGTTCCACATGTGTACTCAACTCTCAGTTGCATCTATATAGCCTAAACTTCGAAGGGCTTGTCTTATTATTGTGGTCCAGGTGCACTGTGTTGATTTTCCATATTCCACAAACGTCCGAAGATGCGGTGATCCTAGCTTTACATCCACTCTGAATGGTCGCTTGCGGCTTCAAAGAACCGCTTGTATTTCTGATTCTTTTCCCTTCACGGCTACAAACGAATATAATATTTTTCAATACTTCATCATCATCCTTTGTCGAAGTTCTTTTTCTAACCGGGAAACCAACTTCGTATGCATATCTTTTGTAAAAATCAAACATTTCATTTTCATCCTTAAATTTCATACCCACCTCAGGCGCAATCGCTCCTTTTCCAACTAACATATCATCACCCGGTATGTTCATAGTATCCACAACATTCTCATTATCGGACTACACCGGTGACTCCACCGGTATAATTTCATCCACATATTCCAATATTTTTTCCCTTCATCAAACAAATCAATTACAATGTCAAATATTGTACAACGACAAAATAATCTATGCAAGTATAATTCAAACTTCACAAACAGATAAAATCACATAACAAATCCCCTCATTCTAAATGGTATTTCAAACTTAACATTACTCAGTCATCATAACTGAAATGGAAAGGAAAAAAATGAAAAATTTCCTTCATCATAAGGTGACATCGTTAAACAATTCATAACAATGAAATAAATAACCAATGCCAATACCTTTTTCGCTCATCTCTCAGCTGAAAATGTTAGGTTAGGTCCAGTGGAATGTAGCTAGATTTTCCCTGTATTTAACTGTAAATAAATTAGTAAAAACGAAAAATGGCTGTGGTACAGATGCAAGTACTTACGATTTTTGAAGAAACCCAGAATTTTTTTTGATTCTCAGTGTCGTCAAAGCACTTTAAATAACCGAAAATGAGATTTTTTGAAATATGGTTCTCTTCCAAACATCAAAAATGGGTCAACATTCATCCCTCAATCATCCCACAGCTGAGAAAGAGATGTAGTCGAAAGTGGAGAAAAAAATCACGCCAATTTTGCCCTAAAATTCACCCTCCAGAATGCTGTGTAATATTAGGTGAAAAATTGGTTTTAAATGGGCTAGACCCGACTGAATCTGTACCTAGTTAGCATAAATTTTTTTGTCATTTTTTTAAACCCATTTTCCACCTCACTATGTCAAAACCTGTGTCAAAAGCTATGGTCAAGTAACATTATTCTCTTAAGCAAGATTTCATGTGGCGAATGCAGTTATTCTTAGGATCTGTTTGATTACAAAGATGTAATTTGGGTGGAAGGAAAATGAATTTCAAGAAATTGAATTGCCTAAATATTATTTTTTTAGGAATTATAAATTATTGTATTTGATTGATATAATTTTCTACTTGAAAAATGTTGAAATAAAAGTATTTTTTGGTGTTCGTTTGGCTTTATTTTACATGAAAATTATCGATTAAAGGGATAAAATTTATTGGTATTGGGAATGAAATTTGTTTTTATTGCCCAAAAAAAATTCAAGAAAATCATCTATCTTTTGGCTTTGTTTTACATGAAAATTGTCAATTAAACGGAAATATTTTTTACAATAATTCTTAAAAAATTTTCCATTGCCAAAAAATAAAAAAGGAAAAACATAAAATAGTACTACAGTAACTGGAAATTCCAATTCTCACCATTTTGGTGAGAATTGAAATTCCTTGAAAAGCATGAATATCCTAGGTGGCATGAAAAGCTAGAAAATGAATGCCATGGAAAAATAGTGCCATCAAACAAGCAAAAACATGTAATTGAAATTGGTTTTGGAGATTTGCAATCCTAGAAGTCAAGCCCTTTATTTGTTTGCCTCAAATCTGGCTATTTGTTGTGAGCTAGAATACTTGGGTTGCACTTCTCTCTAGTTGGTATCAGAGTCATTCTCTCTAGTTAGCTTACATGTATTATTAAAGCAACGTATCAGTATAATGGTACCAGTGAGAATAATAGCTTCCTGATGACTTCTGAAAATCTCTCACAACTTCCTATACTATCTCTCGCCTCTTCATCTTCCTTAAAAAATCAACCTCTTCTAAGATGGATTATCTTTAGGAAATATCCTATTTTGATGAATCAGATAAAATAATTCCTACTAGTCTTCGTATTGTAAATCCATAACTAGCTTACTCAAAACCACGACAATCTTTCTCTAAATCCGTTCGATGCCTAATTTCTCCCCAAAAGACTCAAGTAAAAGAATTTGTACAAGCTACAAAATTTGATCAACACCTCTTTCCTGCCACAGAACAAGAACAGCTTGTCACTTTGGAGATTTCATCCCATCTTCCAAATGTCTGGTTATCAGAAGGATATACACACCTTTATTTCGGAGCTGTGAGATTTGCTCTTACCCTTTATGGAAAAAAGGGTCTTCCTGCAATTTCAAGAATTGCACTACTTGACACAAGATCTGCAGAATATCAGCATGTGTGCATAGGAACTCTACAAACCACTCTAAATGTAGGAACCGTCCTTGTAACCATGTTTCCAAACCTCAACATGCCCATTTAAGATCCGCAACTCCTTTCTACTTTAAAAGTCCAGATCCATATAGTTGGAGCTGTACCATCTTCAGTCACATATGGTGCAATTCTTCATTACCAGATGGTTTACAGAATTCAAAATCATTCATTAAATTTCTCAATTCCCCCTAGAGAAAAGTACAACCCAAGTATACTAGCTCACAACAAATAGCCAGATTTGAGGCAAACAAATAAAGGACCTAACTTTTAGGATTGCAAATCTCCTTGATGGATCGTTTAGTCTGCAGCACAATTTATGATGCTAAGAATCCTCTAGAGAGGCAATAGTAGAGCATACTTTTGTTACTGCTCAAATTGCTAGCTTATCATGACTTGTTAAAACTAATATCAGCATTCTGGATTCCAATGAGAAACATAGAGAATTTAGAACCTCATGATTTAAAGGAACTCAAGCTTTTATTTCTAAATTTTCGATGATGTTCCAATGAAGGAGAGGAGTCCCTTTTACAGGCAGAGGATCCTCTACAATCACATGGACCAGTACAATAATCACGCTAGATGGACAAATGACTTTTCAGACATAAAGGACTTGAGTACATTTTTTTGACCGGATAGACCCACTTTTGATAAAGCGACAGTGCTTTATCGATTTATTTTATAAGATGACAGACAACTCATACAAAATAACAAAATACTTTTAGCCCTTGTTTCGTTTTCATTCTTTCCTCATTAAAATGAAAAATATAACTGTTATCCATCACATCAAGCCACCAAATTTGAATTTCTATCTCTTGTGTGGGGTCCGTAACGACTATATTTTTCATTCTCATTCTTCCAAAAATAAGAAACAAACAGGGGCTTAACTTGAGATGATCTTTGAGAATCAAGGAGTGCCCAGATTTGCTGCCAAGGCCGATCCATCTGAATCATCAGAGTCTGATGGTAGTCCTAGTGTTTTCTATCAAGGCATATTTAATTTTCTTTCCTCTTCTTTTTCTTCTTGAAGTTGTTACTCAAGTTTTTCAAGATAGTCGGGATCCAGAGTGTCAAAGGACCATGGGTTTTGAAAATCTTGAAATTGGGACATTGTGGGTTCAAGCTGACTTGCTGATGCTTGCTGGATTAAGCTTGTTCTATCTTTTCTTTTCC